CTGTCCCTGTCGCCGAACGTAGGGAGCCTGCTGGTTCCGATGACCTGATCAATCTCTTCTTGGGCCTTGCGCTGGACTCCGGGAAATAGCGCCATGGTGAAAAAGAACGACGTCAGCGTGTGAACGGTCTGGTCGGAAAGTCGTTCAGGTATTAGACGTTTGACATGGTTCTTGTTCGGACTGATGAGCGGAAGAGGGCACCACATACTGTATCCGAGCCACCCAAGTACATGGACACCTGTTACCATCGTTGTTAATGTTATGGGTTATCAAGAGGCAGGGATAGAGCCTATATAAAGCAGGGCATGGCAATTATTGCGTGGTAAGACTACTTACAGAAGCCCACTTGAGAATGAAGTCATCGTTGGTTGGCGATATAGTATCACCTCTGTTCCTAAACGCATCCAGGAGGAAAGATTTTTCTGAGCTACCTTCGTCCAAGCGTCGCTTAGTGAATATAAATGGCTTCTCCCTGGTTTCGTCAAAGTGTTGTCGCCACCCCATGATGGCTTTCTTCCAACTGGTACCGGGAACCCACGTCGGGATATATCGAACTGCGAGTATTCAGTTGTAACCACTAAGAACTACAGTGAAGCTAGGAACGGCATACATGCAGGTACAAGGTTGACAAGTGATGGCGCAACACTGAGACCTAAGTGCAGCAGAGCTTGGTCGGCGAGATCGACCAGCGGGTCCGGTTTGTTAGGTTCTACCGTGTATCCGTACTTGACCATTCCTCAGTTATCGGGATTCAAGATGGAGCTTGTGAAGGTTTGGAAATTCATAGGCCCTTGCTCATGGCGAAGAACCTGCGTCCCCAATGATGCTGAATGAAAAAGAAAAGGGCTCCAATTACTCACTGCCATCTTGAGGATGATCGCGCCAGTCAAACTGCCATGTTGCCGTTCGTTAGGTTAGCACATCACGCAGTCGAGCGGCGGATGACGTACGTCCTTAGGTGATTCATCAATGAATCCGGCTCTTGCAAGACACGGAAGAGAAACCGGTGCACTTCTTTCTCGTGCAAGGGTAGATAAGACGTGAGAGCAGATTGGGTTCCGATCGACGTGTGTAGAGTCTTCCGCATAAAGCGATGCGTTTGGCCGTACTGCTTGAAACCGACGATCTTGTCAAAGCCGGCACTTAAGACGAGTGAGCCCCTCTGTCGCGAATCGAGCCTTGACAGGCAACGTGCTTACAAGCTGGAAAGTTCCACCATTTGCCGGTTTGAGTAGTTCGCGGACCTTTTCTCTAGGAGTTCCAAGGCTAATTCTGGCGAATGTATCAATATGAAGGTTGTTCCAAATGTAGTTACAGAGCTTATCGGTCCTGTGATTTATGAGGAGGGTCAGTCTACGAACGTGATCTTGAGACTTGTTGCCATGATAAAAATAATAGTCTCTGTGAAAGATGGGCGGTAAAGAACAAGGAAGGCAACGATAAAGATAAGATCACGGACCATAGGTATCCTTATGTTTCAACCAATGCTCCCATTCTAGTTCGCCCTCGGGGGGGAAATCGGCGATATTTCCCAGGAAGGGCACTGCGGTGATGCTCGGAAGTCAGTAGTCGACCACCAATTCGTCTGATACTTGTGTACATCCGAGAGTGAAGCCAGAAAAGGACGGCTCAGATCTGTAGCCGATCCTATAACCGAAACAATCTAAATGAAAAAGTATGTATGAGAATTACTCACGGCCCTTAGGTCCCGGAGGCAAAGGCAAGGGTCGTCTTTGGAAGATGACGAGGAGAATCTTAACACTGGCGACTGCGATGACGCCTAGGACGAAGGCTTCTACAAACACATCGATAGTAGGCATGGTGATCATAAGAGCTAGAGCACATTTCTCAAGATGCTTAGTGAGAGTGGTGAGGTTTATGGGGAGAGGGGGATCTTGTATATGCTGCGAGATGATGTACTTTACTTAGGTAGTGATAATATTCTTATCGAGCCAATCCTGGTCTCCCGGGGCAATGGGTTACATTTGTGGCGATGAGACATATCGCCTGTCTATTCGTTGATCATGACGCACAAATATACCGCCAAACACGGGGTGATTGGAGGGAGGCCAATATACGGGATACTGAAAAGGGGAAATCGACATATGCGCACGTACTCCAGAGACTTACATTCAAGCACTTCGCGAAACTTATATAGAATAGAGATATATACTTGAGCTTATTTAACTGGATTGACAGATAAAGTAAGCTCTTTCGCGAGGAGCGGTGGAAATCATCATGGCCAGGAAGAACGCTATTATCATATGGAAAACAAAGGAGTGTCGCTATGTAATTATCAAATAATCGAAAAATTCAACGCAAGAGCAAGGCATGCATATTGTCCCAGCTAATGCTGTTACGGGGCACAAACCACAGATGGCATGTTTTTCAACAATCGTTCGATACATACCATGAACTCAGCCATTCCCAAGGGTGCCGCAGCTAACTACCTATTCTATTCGTCGGCCGCCTGTGCTTTCTTATGTGCCAGGGGGTATTGGCGCATAGAGTGGATAGGTAGGTCGATCGCAGTGAGGTGAGGAAGAGGTGTAGGCGCCCCCTATCCCGACCACATCTTGTTCTGCCTCTCCTTTAAGCATGGGAATAGTCAGTGAGTGTATGGGCTCGTAAGCACCTGGGGATCGTTTATGTCTGAGTAAACCGCGATTGTGTTGCACACGCGAGGAGTGTAAACATCATCGACATTCTCTGCCTTAATCTAATACCAGAAGTATAAGTATTAGCAGTGTAAATAAATATGGGATAGTCATCAACCACCGTGCAGCACAATGTCGGGGAATGAAGTAGTACCTGAGGTAGAGCGGGATCAGGCAAATTATATTTTATTCAGATGATGCCTACTTCTGATATCGAGTGACAATAGTTAGGACCAGAGAGCTCTTTGCATCGACATTCGGTTTCATTGATACATTGTTGGCATGAAAGGGGCTGAAGCGAGAATCATGCCCCGACCAGCTCGATACAGTCGCGGGTATTACATTTCCCAGAACATGATGGGAAGAGAAGTAGGATGTTCGTGTAAACATACTCTTTCATGCAAGGCCCTTATTTCAGAATTGCCTGCCAACCTTTCCGCCCAACATACCCGACCACCCCCTCGTCCCTCAACACCTCGCTCCCCAGGCGTCCAGTAACCACGCTTCGTTCGTGCTCGACGCCGCGAACGTAAAACGGATACGTCAGCCGCGTCGAAGCGTCTCCGTCTCCACCCCCATCCGCTCTCGCCCCTTTCCCGCCGTCTCTTACCTCCCGATCGCCCCTCGCGGTCCGAGCCGGGCGCACGTCTGTGCTTTCCCAAACGACCCTCCCGTCCCTCCGCCTCTTCGCAAACCCGCTCGCCTCGCGGTCTAGCGAAAGGTACCACCGCCGCTGGTGCACGCTGCCGACGGAGTTCGTCGCGCCGGGGTACGCGTTGGTCCTGCGGACCTCTTCGTCCTCGAGCTCGCGCAACTCGCGCTCGGTAGCCGAGATCTCCCTACCCCCGTCGCCCTCGGCGGGCGCGTATACGGTGTCGTCGGCGTCGTCGTGATCTCCGCCGGTTCCCTTGTTTGGCCGGGAGGGCGTGAGGGCGGGTTCTGGTTCCGGTTCCGAGTCGGAACTTGTGCTCGGTTCGGCGGCGCGTGTCCTTTTCTTGCCCTTGGCGCTGGATCTCGTTACCCTGTCTGATAATGACAACGTAGTCGGCGCGCCCCGTCTCCGTCGCGTCTTGGGGATGCGTGTGCTGCGTGCCCGGCCTGCGGCGTCTTCTTCGCGCGTCAGGCGGAGATTCAGCACGTACGTCGAGGGCAGCCGTGTCCCGTGGAGCTGCAGTCTGATCTTTCGCGCCGCGAAGGCCTGGTGCAGCTTTTGTGGCTCTGTCAGTTCTGGCGTGCTGTTCTCCTCGTCCGCCGAAGACTGGGAGTCATCCCGTGAGTAGCTTGACTGTATCGGTAGAATGGTGTAGGTTCCGGTGTCCCAGATGAGGACGGAACCGGTGGCGTGAGAGCCTGTTTCGATGAGATGGTTCTGTCGTCGTTTAGTGTATGTCTATTTCGTATTCGTGATCAATGAGATGTGTAATTATAACTTGCCCATAAACAGTGTACTCGTGTCTCGGTCGCGTTTCGATTCAGCCGAAAGCTATTCGGATCCCCTGGCAGCCCGTACATGATGGCCCAAGACGCGCTGCTCGTCTCGTTGATTTGCAGTCGCAGATCGTAATGCGTGCCTGCGATGGGATGATCGTGCTGATGGATGATGAAGTGCGCTCCCTGCGGACTTCCAACATTGGCCTCGTATAGCTTGCGGTAGCTTTCCACAGAGAGGTGAGGAGTGCCCGATGGAAATGGCGATAGAGTAGTCTTCGCTAGGAGCGCACTAAAGAAGTTGAGATGATCGTCTATCTCGGTCTTCCCAGCTTCAATTGCGGCGGTGGTTGGCGGCTTTTCCTCTTCTTGACGACGCCATGGCTCTACCCCGTCGTCGGAGCTGCTCGAGCTAGCAGCGTCATGGGGCAAGCCAGTTATGTCAATGCTCCATTGTAGGTTTCTCTTCTTGATGAAGGGGTTTGGCACTATTTCTGGGCTTCCCGAGCGCTTCGCCATGATTTATTTAAATCATCCAAGTCGTATCACAGGTTGTATGCTGTGAATGGGTTTGTTAGACTGTCACAAGTCTATAAAATAGGTATATGGGCAAACTTACCTACTAAAATCGCACAGACGGAGATGTAGATACCTCTGAAGAAGGCCCTTATCAAACGGAAAGAAACATCTGGTACGTTACGCAATACCTATGCAGAGGCTCTCCTGTCTGGTTCATTTTTGCTCGATTGTTTCAAAATAGGGCAAAGACATGCATGCTGCATAGATCTGCAAATAGCATTAGAATATGTGTAATCAGAGATGACCGACTTGATTGACATCATATAAAAATATGGTCGAATCTCATTTACACGGGCGGGTTCATGGCAGTGAAACAAGCAAAAAGGAAAAAGTTGATGATGAGAGTGGGACTCGAACCCACGCGGATTGCTCCACTGCGAAACTTGTTCAGCGTTTAGCTACAGAGAATACTGCAGATGCCTGAACGCAGCGCCATAACCACTCGGCCATCTCACCAGTTGCTTGGATGCAGGACGCTCGTATATCGTACTGTCATCTACGCCTCGAATGCAATTTTGCAGATGATGGGCTGGTAACACTTACAAGCAAGCAGGATATATTATATCTTATCTGACCTTTTCCCTTGAGAACTACTTGAGACATGGTATTTGCAATCTGGCTATCAGGGTGGTGGAGTAGGTATTGAGTGTACACAAGAGATGTGGCAACTGCCCAAGATCACAACAATGTGAAGGCAACATGCAGTCTGAGATACATAAGGCAAGGGTTTAGGGCAATTGATGTAGAATGGCATAGAAATGAAAGGCAAAGAGAGCTCACAATGGGGTGATGAGGGCTTCACTTCTCTTTTTGCGTGAGATTTCACTGAGAATCCAATGGTCGCTTCACTTTAAAGCAACATTTTGTAGTATCCAAAGATGTATAATTGAATCACTTTCCTAGACCGTAGACGCAATGATGTATATTGAGTAAAGTTATACTAGGTTTCTCTTGGATGCTCATATCTGCTTTGTTATATGGCAGTTGGGCATACATGCAGACTTGGTAGACTCAAAGCTTACCTGTATCAGCCTCAGGCCATCGATCCAAGTCGCGAGCTGGGCTAGAATGATTGTGGTGATATGAAAGGAGATCTTCATCCGCTTCAACTTTGCTCGTATGTTCAACTTGCCATATAGAAAAAGGCACGATGACAGGAAGAGGAGGAGCAGAGTAAAAAATTGAGTATCATTAAACCAACAAACGAATCTTCATGGTATCTGATTGCGGGGGCCAGTCAAAGTCGACAAACAAGCCCCAGTGATGTAGTTCTGCTTGGCTGGAAGCAGCCGTGGATATAAAATCAGTAAAGAGACCCTCCGTATATACATCCGTAAACGCCCATGTCACAGGCTTCAACCCGAAGCCCCCGTGGTAGTATGAGTCTCTGCATCGAAGTACTGCATGGCATGGAATTGAGTGGGATAAAGCGCGCTTCCAAAAGAAGCGTGTCAATGACCACTACCAGCCGACTGACTCTCCCACGATGCCATTTTTTCATGCTTCACCTCACTCCGAGTCCTCCCCTCACCAGTCCGGCCCTTCATGCCAGTATTACTTATATTGCATGGGCTGTTGATTTTGGGGGCGGGCCGGGCCTCCGCCCCAGCCTTGTGGCGGACCTTGGTGTTGCAGCGGTATGTTGTTTCCGCCGCCCTTCATGTTCATCACGTCTGGCCTGTTCTCGAGTGGCTGGGCGAAATTGCATATGTGGCAAACTACGTCGTGGTAGCCTTTGAAGGAGAGCGGTAGGACAGGCTATGCAACGGGACAGGTTAACACATTGGTCGTCTACATGATATAGTTGTGGGCGGACTGAGAGAGGTGTAACGCAGTTTGGTATATATTGGAATTGTAAAGCAAGAGGAGGAGAGACGAAGAGGCGCTGCGACTCACGATAAAGCAAAAGGTAAACCACGGGTTGCTCTTGATAACATGGGCGGCATAATTGCCACAGTTATGACACTGGCAGGTGATGCCCTCATAGCCCTCCACCTCCTTGCGGAAGGTGTGCTCGCCGCAGGTGAATATCAGACACATGGTCCGGGGTCTATGCGTTCAGCTTATGTTCGCTCGGTGTGGCGATAGTTGCTCGTCGTGGCTGTTGGGCGCTGCTCAGGCGGGTATATTCGCGTCGCAATGAGTTTTGGGTATCGAGAGTGAAGATGAAATACAATAGAAATACAGAAAGGTAAGTAGGGAAGCTAAGTAATATCTGGGCCAGGCTGATAGGTAGTATGGTACAGTACAGAATTGCTGTATGAGGTGGCCGTCTTAGGCGGCGCAAGTCATTGTTCTTTCATGATATGATTGATGGATGGGGCGAATGCTGCGGAAGCGGCTGAGACCACCCATTACAGTAGCACCGAGCATCCTACATAGCAGTGTGTACCTAGGTACTTCGTAGGTGCCTAGAATTCGGAGGTACCTTAGGTACTTGAATACCGGTATGAAGTGGTACGAAGTATAGTGTAGGTATACTTCGCCTTCTCCACCCCCTGGTCTGCGTTGGGCTATGTACCTCGGTATTTATATGTACTTAGCTCCAGATGACGCAAGTACACTAAAGTAGGTAGGTATGTAGCTCGGCATCTTTAGTTCAGAGCTCTTCTTACCAGGGGTCTGGAATCTGATAAGAAATTTATTGACCGAGCTCAACTCTTCTTCACGAGAATCCCGAATCTCAAACCCGAACCCCTCCAACACCCCGACCCCACCACCATCCCATCGCATAGACACCCTCATCCTATGCGCCGACGGGCCACGTCCCCGTAGCCTCCCTCGATCAACATGCTCTACGACCTCAACATCGCGTGGTCGCCGCAGACGAGCGCCGCAGACCTCGAGCGCACGCTCCGCTTCAGCGCATCGCTCGGCTACGACGTCGTCGCCCTAAACCACACAATCGGCGCGCCCGTGCCACCGCAAGTCACGAATCCGCTGCCGAAATTCGACCCCCCCTCCCCGTCGTCATCTCTGCCTCCATCGTCCACCCCGCAGCCTAAGCTCCCCACCGTCCTCCGCCGCGCAACCCTCGTCCTCAGCGAATCCTCGCAACACCACCGCCTCCCGCAGCTCGCCTCCGCATACGACATCCTCGCCGTGCGCCCGCAGACCGACGAGAGCTTCTCCGCCGCCTGCCTGAGCCTCAACGACATCTCCCTCATCTCGCTGGACCTGACGGTGCGACAGCCCTTCACCTTCCGCCCGAAGCCCTGCATGTCCGCCGTGAGCCGCGGCGTTCGCTTCGAGGTATGCTATTCGCAGGCCCTGCAGGGGCCCGCGAGCGCACATATCATCGGAGCCAAGGGCGCGAGGGACGGCGGCTATGCTGGCAGCGGAGGAGGGCTAGGCGTCGATGCCCGTGCTCGCGCGGCCTTTATCGGCAATGTGTCGTCTCTGATCCGCGCCACACGCGGTCGTGGCATCGTGATAAGTAGCGAGGCGCAGTCGGTCCTGGGCCTGCGCGCCCCGGCCGACGTCATAAATCTGCTCCACGTGTGGGGTCTGCCGACGGATCGCGCCAAGGACGGGTTGAGCGTGCTGCCCCGCGGCGTCGTCGTCAACGAAGGGCTGAAGCGGAGCGGCTTCAGGGGCGTCATCGACATCGTCGGGGTCGCGGATCGAGAAGAGGCGGACGTCGAAATGAGCGAGGCCGGAGATGGCGTTGCCAAAGCTGCTTCCGGAAATGGACAGGGTAATAAGAAGAATAAGAATAAGAACCAACAAACGAGCGGTCATGGAGAGAGGGAAAGGAAGAGGAAGAGCGAGGCCGAAGATACCGACGCGGCTGCCCCTGCGAGCACGAACGAGATATCGAAGCCGGCGGGTGGAGGCGAGGAGCAGCTGGTGAGCAAGCGCCAGGCGAAGCGGATGAAAGCCGCCTTGCGGAACAAACAACTAGAGACCGGGACGGCTGGTACATGATCCCACTTAACTACCTAACTTAGCATCGTAGTCGCATTGAAGCATGTATAAAGAGTGGAAACCGGCGTTTTTTGGGCAACTGGGTTCGAAGAGAAGACAAACTGCACTTATGATACCCCCTTAAGATAGAACTACTTCTTACAGATAACTTTTCAAATGGCCCTCGTACACTAAAAGTTTTCCCCCCCTCCTTCATTTCACGCAGTCCTGATGTTGAATGATGCTAATGTCAAGCTACTTATTTCGTTCGGCCTTCCCGCCCAACTAGGTATCCCTACCCTACAGAGCATACAGAGAGATCACATGGTCGAAAATAAGGGACTCTCCGCCGGGGCATATTCATTCTTTCCAAAGTTGATTCTAAGAGGGTTTACTTATACACACAGGCACGCACATATTTAATCAAATATCACACAGACAGACACGGAACCAGCCCAGCAGCGGGGAAAAGAATATGTATCATATATAGACGACATACACCATTGCCTCCCTCCCCCGTATTTTAAAAACCGCCTGTCACAATCTTCTCCCGTCTCGTCTTTCCCTTTCCCCTTCCATTTTTCTATTCAGCCTTTGTCTCTTGTTACTTGTTATGGAGTATGTAAAAAAGGAGAGGGGAGAGAAACCGGTTGGTGATGAGAGCGGCGGGATCACGCGACCGGGCCGAGATTGATGATGGAGTTCAGCTCGACGCCGCTGAAGTTGATCGGGGGGCCCACGTTGGCGCCCGCGAACGTCGTCGCCGTGATGATGGCCGGCAGCGAGGCCGCGAGGTTGACGTCGGGCGAGGCGGGCGGCGTCTCCTGCACCGCGGGGAGGGCGACGGTCGATAGCGTCGCCGCCGTCGTCTGCGCCAAGGACGGCGTCGTCTGGATGGGGAGCGCGATGGACGATGCCCCGGTTACCGGCAGGGTGTCCGTCGCGGAAGTCGTGACGGCTGGCGATCCCGGTGCCGAGGAGGTGGTTTCCGGCACGGCGGCTGATGATGGTGTTGTTGCTGGGGCGCTGGAGTCTTCGACGGTCGACGATGAACTGGGTGTTGAGATGCCTGGTGTGTCGGGTATGTCGGTGTTTGTGGAGGTGGAATTCGATGACGGTGTCTCTGCTGCGCTGGACGGGCTAGAGTCTGCAATCGCTGAACTTGACGATGATGGAATTTCCACCGCACTTGATTTGCTAGGTCGCACAGAGGTCGAGCCTGATACCGGAATAATGTCCGTGAATGGCGTTTTCGGGTCTGCCTTAAATGATGGAGTTTCTGTCTTGCTTGACGTGCTGGGGAGTACGTCGGTTGCCTGAGATGTCGGCAAGGGGTTCGAGGAAGGGTCTGGAGACGCCTGTGAAGGCGACTCAACCACAGCTAGACAGCTTTGGTATTAGTGAACTGAAGACCTTTAATGGGAACAGTTGACAGGGAATATCTTACGGTAAGAGCCAGGCGCGCTAGTAGCCACGGGTATTGGGATCGGTGAAGTTGTCACGACCGCAGTCGTCTGAACAATCGGGACAGACGAAATGGCCGCAACCGA